CGATTCTTTCGTTGCGATTTTCATTTCGCATTGCGATTTTCATTTCGTATTGCGATTTTAATTTCGCATTGCGATTTTCATTTCGCATTGCGATTCTCTCGTTGCGATTTTCATTTCGCATTGCGATTCTCTCGTTGCGATTTTCATTTCGCATTGCGATTTTCATTTCGCATTGCGATTCTCTCGTTGCGATTTTCATTTCCGCATTGCGATTTTCATGTTGGGATTTTCATTTCGCGTTGCGATTGTATTTTCCGTGTTGCGATAGTCAAATGCATGCCTAATAGTGATAACAACTGAATAACAAGAGTTGGTTAAGTCAAAATGGTTGGCCTGAGTCATTAATTCAACTGAAAATGTTAAAAGTTCACACATAAAATCCACATAATACAACGTTTGCATATGAGCTTTTGATGGCAACGTTTACATAATACACATAAAATGTTAAATGTTAAAACGTTTACATAATACAACTGAATAACAACGTTTACATAATACAAAGTTCACACCATATGAGCTTTGGATTTTGATGAGGATCCATATTTTGGTAGAGGAAAAGATGATTTTGATGGCACTGGTGATCCACATGTCAACCTTGTATGACCACTTTCCTTGCACCGACTACATGTCGATCTCTTCTTCTCTTCACCCTTAGACGGTATACGATCGTGACTTTTTGGTCGGCCAGGTAGCCTTCTGTCCATGGCTGGTGGAAAAACTGTTTGTAAGTCATCTGGTATGTCCCACTCAGAAGGATGTGGAATAGGGTAGACAATCTCGGCATAAGTCTGTCGATAAACTTCTGTAGTGTAGCAATCCATAGCGTATGCGCTTGAATCATCTTGGTTTAAATGAAGAGCAACTTTTATAACATGGCCACACGGATAACCAGATGTTTGCCATTTCATACAACTACACGTCTTTGCATTTAGATCGACTAGCCCATTTAAGTTATTATCCAGTACTTGAAACAAAGTGTTTGAACATGGTTCAACTCTCCATGACGTTGACTTCACAACACGTTTCGTTATTTTTTTCAGTCCATGGTGTAACACGATGTTCCAATGTTCCTGTAAATTTAAATAAACAATACTTAGTAAAATATAAATATGATAAGTTACGAATTCAAAGAAATAATACCTGCATGGTTTCTTTTCTTGTAGTACCACTGTTGAATAGAGGCTCGAAAAAACTCCATTAACATAGTAATGGGTAATTTCCGGGAATGACGACTTAGAGCGTTGATTGATTCTGCACTATTAGACGTCATGAAACCATATCTTGCTCCAAGTTGATGTACTCTTGACCATCTTTCAAACCCGACATCTTCTAGTGTTTGAGCACACTGAGGCAAAACACGTCTTAAACAATTTATATGCTTATTGAAATCCACTTCCCGATAAGCTTTTACAGCCTTCCAGTATGTCCATTTGTGCTTTTTTATACCAGCAGACCTTGATTTTAGATTTCTATACAAATGAACACCACAAAGTCCATGAAAAGCATCTGGGAAACACCTTCTAACAGCGTTGTCAATTGAGTTTGCCCTATCGGATATGATTGTCAGATTGCTAATAGGACCTATGCAATCCCTAAGATGCCCCATAAACCATGTCCATGAATCAGAGGTTTCAGATTTGCCAACCCCGTAAGCTATTGGCAATATCCCATTGTTAGCATCCATGGCTACTGCTAATAAGTTTACTCCAAGGTATCGACCTTTCAAATGTGCTCCGTCAACTATAATAACTGGGCGCATGCAAGTAATAAACGAACGAATCTACAAAATAATATACACAAGAAATATAATCATTTAAATGTGAAATGCATGTAACTAACAAAAATGAGTCAACAAAATTATATTGATTTACTAACCGTAGCACCAATGGCGATAAACAGCAACTCAAAGCGTCCATCTCTATCTGTTTTGATATGAGTTACCGACCCAGGATTTTTCAGCTTTAAATTGTGACAATAAGCCGGCAGTTGGGCAAACGATGCTTCTGGCGACCCCCTCAACAATTCCAAGGCATAACATTTGGCTCTCCAAGCTTGAGAATATGATATACTAATCTTGAACCGAGCATTCATGTCAGTCATAATTTCATGTCCCCGATATACCCTGCCATTCAAAAACATTAACTCAGCCAGAAAACCACCCAACACCTTTTTGTTTGCCTGTCTATGGTGAGGAAAAACTTGGGTTCTTGAACATGTATGTTTATCAATAAAAGTCCTAACTTGAAACATTTTGCAATCTTTTATTCTCTTTGCAATCATACGCCACGTACAGTTTTTGTCAATCATACACCTTGTTTCGAAACGATCTTTGCTTGATTTGTTAACTTTTAGTTGATAGCCATCTTCCACACATTTCGTATATAAAGCTATCTTCAAGTCTTCCTTTGTATCAAAACAATCATCTTTCTTGATACGAATAACTTTTGTGTAACAATCAACTGCTTTCTTTATCAACTCTTCTTCCGGTATCTGAAGTAATTCTGGCATATTCCAGTTATACGCCCGTGGCATTTTCTTTTCTTCGGGGACTTTTTCTTCTTCTTTTTCTTCTTCAGGATTATATGAATTACAGAATGGATGTTCAACATGTTCATTCACAGTCGTAACTTCCTCCTCATTATCATCAACATTACATTCTTCGGCAACGGCTGTTTCATCATCAAAATTCGGGTATTGACCAATATCAATATCATTACACGCATGGTCTGTTTCTTCTTCTGAAACATCATCAAAATCCGTGTATTGACCAATATCAAAGTCCGGATATTGACCAAGACCAAATTTCGAATACTGACTAGTACTCACAATTTTTTCTGTTGGCTCATCATCGTCTAACTGGTCAATACGAAAACCGGAATTTGGTGCTGAAAGTTGATTGGGATTTGGATTAGAGAAAGGTTGTGGGTTTTGAGAAAAACTTAGTTGATTACTACCCGCTACTGACCCAACAATACTACTTCTAGGTTCAACAACATACAATGTAACATCATCTTGTGAAACACTAATGTAAGCAATGAATCGTTCAACATCTTCATTGTCGGTTAACAAATAAACTTTACCATTTCTCTGATAAGATAGCCTAAATCCACTTAGGGGCTCTAAATTCAATTTATTTGAAACACGTAGCATTAGAGTTTCATAAGTTAACTTTTGTAAAGACAATTTTAGTTGAAGATTTATGGGTAAAGGCATATATTGTAAAACACCATTAACATTATCCCATGACCCTCCAAAACACAAATCTATCCAAACATGATCAACATTAGATGATTTCATGGTTGTAACTAAACAAACGAGATGCGAAACTAAGACCTGTTGCCGGATGGGGAAGGATGTCGTTGGATATAGGAACGGATGTCGCCGGAGAGAGTGATAGATGGAGATGGAATGAGTTGCGATTTAGGGATTTAGTTTATGATTTCAGTGTTATATACCCAAAATTTCAGTGTTGTGATTTACAGATTCTCGTTGCGATTTACGGATTATCGTTGCGATTTACAGATTCTCGTTGCGATTTACGGATTATCGTTGCGATTTACGGATACGCGTTGCGATTTACGGATTATCGTTGCGATTTACGGATACGCGTTGCGATTTACGGATACGCATTGCGATTTACGGATACGCGTTGCGATTTACGGATACACGTTGCGGTTTACGGATACGCGTTGCGATTTACGGATACGCGTTGCGATATACGGATACGCATTGCGATTTACCCATACGCGTTGCGATTTACGGATACACGTTGCGATTTACGGATACGCGTTGCGATTTATGTGTTCGCGTTGCGATTTTCATATTCGCGTTGCGATTATGGAAAATCGCAATGCGAATTTGTACTATCGCATCGCGATTTTCAAGAATCGCGTTGCGATTCTGGAAACTGATTTGCGATTCTGGGGATCGCGTTGCGATTTTTATTTCGCGTTGCGATTTTGTTGGTCATTTTGGCAAATCCAAAAAAAGTTGGTTAAAATCGTATATTATAACTTTTTTTTGGTCACTGAGGCGATTTTCTCTTTTTTTTAATACTTGTAATAATAATAGTATTTTAGTTTCATGCATTGCTCCTTTTGGTAAAATTTCCATTAACGAGCAGCCAATTGGCAACTGGGAACTGCCCTGCAAAACGGCCTTGTACAATTTAATATCTACTGACCTCGAGATGCCAAATACTACGAGGACTAATTCATAGGACAGTTTACTGTTGTTGTTTGACAATTTATTTAATACATTTAATATTTTAAATATTAAAGGTTCTTTTTTAATTATTATTTTTAAAAATTTTGAGTAATAAGATGGATAGGCGTTATTAAAAATTAAATATATTTTAAATAAATATTATATTATTATTATTTTTAAAAGTTTTGAGTAATTGTTATTATAAGATGGATAGGCGTTATTAATAATTAAATATATTTTAAATAAATATTATATTATAATCATTTCATATTAATACAAGAATAATTTTTACTTTTTTACCAATTGGATTAATCTTTATGTTTTTATGAAGCAAGGAGTATGATTAAATTAGGTTTAGTGATATACTTATAGACAATTTACCTAGTTTAGTGACAACCAGTGAGAAAAAAAAAGTGAAATGGAACATGGTTTAGGTTACCAAGCCCTTTGCCAAAATCTAATCCAAATATCTAATAGCATAAAGTACGGTGTTATTAAAATGGCAACAGAGCACGAACAAAGTGATTTCAACGTTTATTCACTTTTAAAGTTTCGGGTTTGAGTACCAGGTATATCAAGCGTATGAATATTAATTGTCAAATGATTGAAAATTATTTTACCAACAATGGTTGGTTCAAGCGGTAAGCAAGACTTATCCACCAAAACTAGATGCGTGAAAATTTTTAAGAGATAAAGGCAAACTTCCTTTCGAAATAAATATTTTTTAAAACAAAGAAATTGTTTGTTTCTTAGAGATATAACTTAGTCGCAAGAATTAAGTAAATGCTTCTTTTTCTAACAAATAATTTTATTAGCCTCACAAAAAAATGGAAAGAAGAGATGGATTACAAATACAAGAAACTTCATTTTGCCTTTGAATGACAGAAGAAGGAACAACAAATAAATTCAATGGCGAGTTTTGCATTTCTCATTGGTCCTATTGGGACTTGTCATCAAGATTTGGATATGGCCTAATGAATGCAGAGTTCATTTGCCAGATCCTAAGTGATGCACCAACTCCGGCCTCAGTAGCATTGTTGAATAAGAACAGTTTTGCAGCTCCATAGATCGCCTTCGTCGGATAAACCCGAGATGTGATCACTGTCCTTCCACCTTGAGCAAAGCTTTCGATAATCGAATGATCCACCTGCGAAAAAAATTCACCATTTTCATGTCCATTGGTTCTCATAATAATGCCATTGTAGCAAGGAACAAGTAACTTTTTTACTCACCAATACTCTGAGGGATAAGTTTTCGCCTTTCAGTACTGGGACCATGCTCCCATAAATTTCTTTATTAACATCTGATGCCTCGGATGATCTGAAAAATCAATACAATATGATAATAGGTAAGTCCAAGGCTCATGTTACGTTAATAAAGCCTTCGGGTTTATATATGTACCGACCGAGATTGATCGTTGCAGAAGAACGTCTTGAGGTTGCCGTCGGATCCTTTGGCGATGTAGAAATACACAGGTGTCTGCTCGCTGAGTCTGTCGTCAGCAAGCACCAACAGACCAAATGGTCCCAATGCCCCACGATGTACGGCTCCACCACTGCTACTGCAGCTGAATGTTACATTGGACCCGGTTGCTTTTTCTAAAGCTTCTTTATCGATCTCGAACTCCGCCATGATATCCAACTGTCACATGACAGAATCTTCTTGTCAACTAACAGGATCTTGGTCGATTAAGTATTGGTGATACACATGAATACGTGACAAAAATACAAACCTGAGTTGCTGCGCCGATGTCAAGAGGAACAACTGATCCTGCCTGGACCGTCACATGATTAAATTCGTAGCTGTTTAACCTTAAACTGTCTATTTCTTCCACTGGCCATTGAAGCAAATGAGTATCGGTCTTCTTGTCTAACAAAATCATCCTTGGGATGCTCTGCAAGTAAAGTTAAATATCACATTAGAAACTGAAGAAATTTGAATGCTTATGGAGTCTATGCCTGTATGGTCCAATGAAACAGAAAATTTTACCTGAACAGACGCCCATCCTTTCTGCACATCGGCGGCTTCGCTATCGGATTCACCAATCCAGCCCCACAAAACTCTTCTGTTTTTGTTCTGATCATAGAAAGTCTTGGCAGCATAATATACACCATAATCATACCTTAGTCCAATGCCAACATCAAGCTCAGTATCATCAGGAATAAATGTGACATTCTTCTCATGATAAGTCCCAATAGTATAGTAATCATGCCTGTCATCATCCAGGCTAACCTTCATCACATGCTTAACATCCAGACTGTTAACGGATGTGTCCAATCCTTTTTCTTCCGTTTTCGAAACAGGGAAGAAATCGACACACTCCCACATGCCGGTTCCGTCCACCGCACGAAGGTAACCATCCAACTTTTCATAGTTTATGAAGTCCTTAGTATCATACACCAAAGCTATGCCGGTTTTATTGATCTTCGACCCTATGGTAATGCGCCATTTCCCTTCCGAGGTCAACCAGGCGGTCGTAGGGTCACGGAAATCCTTGCTAAGGATGCCCGGTGGTGGAACTAGAACAGGGTTCGCATCGTACTTGACCCAATTGATAAGAAGAGGATCAGAGTGGTTAGCAGGATAAGCAAGGTTTTGAACTTGAACAGACTCGGTGTCGGATCCCGTGTATAGCATAACTATTTTACCATCGGGGAGGAGAGTCGCGGAACCAGTCCAGACGCCATTCGTGTCGTATGTCTGGTCAGCAACCATTGCCAATGGGAGGTGAAGCCAATGGATCAAATCCTTGGATACAGCATGACCCCATACTATTTTACCATACACAGCCGCAAGGGGATTGTATTGGTAGAAGAAATGATACCATCCCTTGTAGAACAATGGACCTGTTATGATTTGCAACCAAAAAATTTTCAGAAAGCCATAAACTAATCATATCGTTCAAGTTTTTTCTGACATTTTTTTATGGAACAGATTGCCATGAAATTACTTCAGATCATACAGGAACTGATTGTCATGCCTATGATTAACGGACGAGAACAAAGTTTCTGCCCTTTTTTATCGGGAATTCACGAACGTTCAAGTTCTTAAATTCATTTCAGAAGGGAAAAAGAACAAATAATTTATGTTTGTAATAGCAACTTTTAGCCACTCAGTCATGTGAACTTTCTATATAAAGAAAGAAAGCTATAATGCAACAGGGAGTCATGTGCACGTTACAGATTTACAGTCCAAATTCATAGGGAAATTAGGCGGGATTTGACTATGGAATCTAACATATTGACTGGTTCATCTTCAATTTTTAATTAATTGTCTATTCAATTAGATACCGTTGTTAATCAAGTAGGGGCATAAAGTTCTTCGTTGGATAATGTCTGCCCCAGAAAAAAGTCTCTACCTTTTTAAACTCAGAAAATTAATACATCATAAAGGTATAACTCAATTGCATTCAAGTTTTGGCATAAAGAATTATACAGGGAAACGCATTACCAAAACTGAAAAGATGGGACTTACCATTAGGATCTGAAGCAGAAAGGAACCAGATTCCATGTCAGAAACAACGTACAACAAGCACCCGGCCATTCAAGAAATCCAAAATGTTAGATATGTTTAAAGGAAAACAGAAACAAAAGATCCAATGAACTAAGGAACTGTATGAACAATCGAAATAAAACCAGAAAATTTTTCATTCTCATACCATTCATCCAGTTCATTTCAGGTTGAAAGTGAAAAGATGTTCTTTGCCATGACAACATGCTATTATTCCATGGAAACGCCACCGTGTTCTCATTATCTTTGGGGAAAAGCAGGTTCGCTTTCTCTGAAACACCGGCGGCCGGTCCGCGTGACAACGGCCGTAACGGTTCGGGTTTGATGGTGGTCGACGAATCCAATGAGCCGTGTTCGTTTTCTGTTACGATATCTGACCCCTTATTACTTGCCAACAAAGCCGCCAATAACCCAACAGCTAACAACCCAAAAAATATTGAGAGCTGCACTTTCATGGGTTTGCGGCGATTCGCAGGACGCTCAGAAGGAATGGAGCCATCGGAGCTGGAGACCGGAAGGAACGGCCTTGTATCCACCATTGTTGATGATTTGGTACAACAGATAAGAAGAAGAAAATGGCGAAACAAAGGATATACGATATTAGAAAGAGTAGAGATGAGGGACGGCTGAATATGTTTGACCAGTTAGGTTCTTAGACTTATATAAGGCCAGTGGCAGTCTTCGCTTGGCCAAGAAGCTGGGTGGTTTCCATGATTCAGATTTGACGGCTCTGAAAACCAAAAGAAAAACATAAATTTTCCTTATATTTTTCACATATGTTTCAGGTTTTTTTATAATTAATAATAAATCTATATGAATAATTATTAATAATAAATTAATATGAATAAATATTTTATTATCAATGAGATTATACATAAAAAAATTAAATTAAATTAAATTAAATTAAATTAAATTTAGAATCAAATAATTCTAATAATTCTCTTAAAAAAAGAATTTAGATTATCTTAGTGTAAATTACCCCGTATATTTCCATCTGATTTGTGGGCAATGGACAAGTTGAACTGCCGTATATTGTATTAGCTGTTACTGTTTAAAATTATAAGATCCAATCATGTCAGTCATGCAATTGTGGTAGACAAGACAGGTGTTGGATAAGTCTCGTGTATGTTGTAGTAGAGTTTACGAGGTTTATGATTTGCTATCACAGTCAATTATTGTTATTCTTTTTATATTAACAGCCGCCTCGGTCGGTGGGGAAATTAGAATATTTGGCTTATACCCATAATAATTGTGTACTTGCATCTATGGAAGACACAGAAAGGATTTTTAAAACATTATATAGATTCAAATACCATAAAAATTATATTTAACAGTGACAGCAAAGGTAATTAAACATCTAAAATAGTCAATAATTGAATGTTGGGAGTATTTGACAAGATTATTTAGGTTTAATTGCAAGAAAAACTATACAGTCTTTGGTCCTGCAATTATTGGCTTAAACAGGAATGAATCAGTGGTGATTAGGACGGCGGTTCAGCCAAAGCCAAGAGTTACTTCAATAATTCATTTTTTAAAAAAAAAGAAATTAAATGGCAACACATTAATCAGTGAAGTTCATAGGCACATGCAGAATATAATTGAGGATTCCGCTTCCCTTGTCTGATGTACATTATGATACTGAAACTTTTTTAATGACTATTTACAGAGTTCGATACAAATACACCTCATGAGGGTGAACTAGATCGCATGTTCCTGTGTTGTTTTTATTTCTGGCCTGTCCCTGCATGTTTCCACGTGGTTCGGGGGAATAATTGTTTACGCATGGGACTTGGAAAATGTTTAGATCACCGATTTTTTTTGTCGTGAACACAAGAAACGTGGACCAGTGGGGATGGCTCTAGTTCATAACTTACATTAATTTTCGATACAATTATTGAAATAAATGGGTCGAGGTGGAGACTGGGGGTGAGCTCTCCTGGGTTGTGGTTATGATAACATGCACACTTTTGATTGGTGGGTAAATAAAAGTCCTCATATTTCAGCTTTTGTATATATATATATAAATTATGCATAAATTACACCAATCCTCACTCAACTTTATTCTCTCTCTTGTTTTGCTCACCAACTTTCAATTTTTTTATTTTGCTCACTAAATTTTACATATTAAATTATTTTACTCACTCGACTGTTAAGCTTGTAATAGCTGGATGACATCGTTATTATTATTATTATATAATGATATATATATATATATATATACTTTTATTAATATTTAATAATGACATGTAATATTTAAAATAAAAAATTTTAAAAAAAAATTATTCCTAAACCCTAATCCCAAATTTCAACTCCACCCTCACCCTCCAACTCCCACCTTCATTGTCTATCTCAACCGAAACCTCCACTGTCACTTTTTCTTGCCATCGAAAAACACCCTCTGTAAACACCACTTTTACACACTAAATTCTATTCAAAATCATAATATCTATAAATAAAACATTGAAATATCAAAGCAAAATCTCATTTATGACAAAGCTAAAATGCAGTAAAAGCAAAACAAGGGGAAAACTGGGAATATAGAAGAAGAGGGGACGCGAGAAAAGTGAGAATGACGGTTTAACGACGAACGGTAAGGATCAATGAACAAAAAATCGAAAGATTCAATGTTAGATCCATGGAATTTAAGGGTTTTTTTTTTGGTTAAATGGACACTAGATTTATGTTCAAGAGAGAAAAAAAATGAGTTTGGTGGAAACATTTGGGTCTTATTGGCCACTGTCAACGGCAACCGAAAGTGACTGACACGACGAATGGTGATCAGAGTTTTACCATGTTGAGAGAAAATGGAAGAGGTAAAATGAAGAAGAGAAGGAAATAAGGAAAATGAAGGAGATGAAGGAAGTTTTATATTTTTATATAGATGCAAAACGACATCGTTTTGGTATAAATTTAAATTTTAAAAACAACGTTGTTTTGGTATAAATTTAATTTTTAAAAATGAATTCATTTTGATGTCGTGTACCATATCATAACATCATTAATTGTTTAACGGTGGGTGAGCAAAATAGGAGAAAGGGTAAAATTCAGTGAGGAATAGTGTAATTTACCCTAAAATTATGGGTTTTAAAAGTTAATTTTTAGCTTTTATTTTTCAAGTAGATGATGTTTGACATCTATCCATATTATGTTCTCTTAACGGAAGCGGGGGTGGTGTAAATTGACTTTTAATTGGAAACATTTTTATAAATAAATAAAAAACTATTTTCTAAGGATTTTGTTAACAGTGGTCAATTCCCTGTGATTTCTTGGAATAAAATCTCATATTAGCCTGACGTGTGAGAAGTTGTGAATGGAAACAATAATAATAAAACCTAGAACTTTATCTTGATTCATTGAATGAAATGGAGAGGATCATGAGTCGATAAATATGGATGAAGGAGATGGAAATGATATTAATCTCACATGACATTGATGATGAGGATTAGCAACCACCATAGGAAATTGCTTTCCAATGTCATAGCCATTAAAAATATATGTTTTCAGTTTTCTGACAAAAGGGTTTAAATAATATGGCCAACTGCATTAGAATGGCTGGATTCATTGTAAATTTGGAATGTAAAATATACTAAAAGAAAAGAAAATTTAAAATAATAATAATAGAATGCTCCTCTTTCATGAAGCTTTAATGTGCAGCTTTTCTTCAAGCCTATTCATTCTTGTTCCATGTTCACCAGAGCCTTGAGAAACTTCTTCACCTGCACCAAAAATCCCATGTTAGTCCATGTTTTGAAACAAATGAAATATGAGCATTTCTTGAGCTTAGCTTTACCTCTGACGGGTCATTCAGGGAGAGAAATGCCTTGCTCTCTTTGGGAACTGAAGACACCAATATCCCATAACCCAGATTTGATTCCCTGATAACCTGATTTACAAAGTTTTGGAACCTGTATTTAGAACCTCAACAGCTTTTTTTTGATGAAATCTGCAATTACAGTAATATACATGCCTTGAATGCATCCTCATCAGTCTTGTCATCTCCGATATAGATTGCGAGCACATCATCTCTATCACTTAGTCCTGCATCAATTTGCATAAATTACAACACTAAGTGAAAGCATGTTATGTTAACATCGAATATAGGAGAGAAAGCGAACTACCGAGGGATTCGAGTAGAAATTCAACTGCCTTCCCTTTATTCCAGTCAATCACAGGACGGATTTCTAAAACCTGGAGAACAAGGAAAATAAGCACATATATGCAAGGAAGTAAAATGGTAGAGTTTTATGATAATGGTAACACAAATGTCAATGAATCAACAAAACGGGTAGAGTTGCGTTAAAAAAAATACCTTCCGCCCATGAGTTAATCTTAAACGAGGATAGTCTTTCAGAATATCATGAACACGTTGTGCGATAGTCGGCCAGTTCTGAAAAGCAGAGTAAAAATTGCATTTAAATGTTGGAACTAGTAACCTAGTAGGTTAAATCTCAGGTACAATGTTGGAATTATGCCTCTCACCTTCTCTTCTACATTACGGTAATGTACAGAGGTGCAAAATTTGTGATTCTCAACCTTTGCACCTTTAATATCTCTAGTATTCAAAACAAGGGTTTTAAAAACCTGCAGAACAAGCCAAGCGTGTTTCACTTTAAGCATGGTCTATAGATAAGAGGTGAATGGAAAGTGTGTGATCCTAACATTTACACACCTCGTCGATCATAGGAATGAATTCTCTAGCAGGCTGGAAAAGTTTCACCTCCTTGCCCTGTCATATAAGATTACGATTAACATGAAATCGAGAATGAAGTTTACAATATAAACAACATACTTGATGGCCTTTTTCCGGAGAAAATAAAGTTGGGAATGTGTTGAAAGTTTTATGAGTATTACCTGTTGGTCAGTTGATCTAATGCAATTTGGATGGCCATCAGATTCTGCATGACTTACAGGGCCCATAATGTCCATCCCATGACTACCAGCATAATAAAGTTCAGTTAGTCCTACCAATTCATAAACCTGAAATAAAAAACAAAACAAAAAGTAAATCAAAACATATCGTAACCGGATTTGGATGATAACTACATAGGAGTAAAAACGAGAGAAAGTTCCTGAATGATCTACCATCTACCTTATCACGACTTCTGCCGCTAATAATTGCGGTTGGGAAAAGCTTTGCAACATCTTTGACAGCAGAGCGCATCTGCAAATGAGGTAAGATTTTTTTTTTCCCTTAAATTTCAATCAAAGGAAGATGTAGGCAACCAAAGACTACTATATGCATGCACCAAAATGAACTGTCATACTTACAGAATCAGACATAAATGCGCGGTCAGGGTCATCTACTATGGGGGAAAGGGTACCATCATAATCAAGAAAAATGGCAATTATTTTGTTCTCGGCATTTTTCGAGATTTGGTCAATAGATTTAAGTGCAGAGGGATATTTAGTCTGCATAATCAGCATAACAACAAGCAAGCAAGTTTAACTAGAGAAATGTATAACACAAGTAAAATTATATATACATATCAACAATTAGATACAAGCATACCATCCAGGAGCAGTAAGCAATATCGAAATCATCCGCAGCAGCATCAATATTGAAGTCTTTGTGCTTTATTAACTTCTTACGAGGGGGCGATGATGATCTCATCGCCTCTAGCCAACCATTGGACCAAACATCCTCAAGCTTTCCAGGTTTCTTCCTGGGAATCATAATATACTTGCCCGTGGGCAAAGTTCCTCCTGATGGCGGATAGGAAAGCAGATTCGAGTGGATGCCTAGTCTAGAATTGGTTACAGGAATAGGATCAGTGAGAACAGGAGACGAATGATTCGACTTCAAATCCATTACCTTCAGACCACTTTTCAATACACTAACAACAAGTTATACGTATCTTTTACGACGGAATCAGCTTTGTCAAGTAAAGTTATGAACCTTGAATCCTTGTCAAATTTTTACCCGACCCTCTTGTCAATGAAAAACCACCTCTTCAATGTTTTCTTATCACTACTAGTGTTCGGTGAGCAGTCCATCAATCGCGGGCTTCTTCGAAACTGGCGGTCGAACATCAAAGAATAAATTCAGAATATCAAATCAGCAAGTTATAAATTTGAGATTTGCAGTTCTTTCTGCTCAAGTAAAACATGTATACCTTCTCATCTCCTAAGCTACACCACCACATTTATGGCAGATAACATTATTTGTGCTGAGGTTCTCAAGAAGAAAGTACCTAAATCATTACCAAAGCATATATCTACAATTAAATCCAAAATCTAAATGAAACAAGAGCTGGGGATACTATTTATGGTATATAACCTCATGTAACAATTATTATAACTAAGGAAGTTTTCATTTTTTTTCATGAAAAATAATTTTCCAATGATTTTTCTTCATAAGGACATTCTAATGGACCAGACCAAAGAAAATGTATTGTGTCAAGTCTTGAAAGAAAATCATCCAATCATATAAATAACTTTTTCAATCAAATCATTCAAACAACAACAATATAGAATCTTTAAAAATCTTTATTTCAGGCAATCATCATCAATTTCTTACCATTGAGAGTTAACATCAGTCTGCAAAATGATTAAGACATGTTTCTAAATTTTCAATAATCTTATAACCTAGTCCTTCCTAGGTAGGAACCGACAAAACAGAAACTTTTACAAAATCAAATAAACAAAACAAATCAATCAAAAAAATCACTTTCTTCCCCTAACATTCACTGCAGCTACGAAACAAGAAACTATTCCATTTAAAAAAATGATTAAAAAAACAAATAAAACATCAAATTTAAAATAGACCCAAAGCGAAGAAAAAAATCAAAAGTATAACATCCTCAAAGGCAAGAAATATAAAACTGGGTTATGCGTACAGATATCATTTTTCATTTGACACGCGTGTCATATCGAGGCCTTAGTGTGAGTTGAGATTAAGATCTCAATCCTTAAAAGAATCAAAGAAAGAAACGACAATCTAACAGATGGAATATAAAGAGAGAAATCTGAATGTAAACGAACCTGGGTAACGAGGTCAAACCCAGACAAAAACAAGTTTCTAAAATGCAGTTCTTACGAGAATCGACGAAGCCGGAGAAAAAACACCAGAAAACCAGCTATGGAAATGAACAGAGAAACAAATATGGGAGAGAAGAATGGAATATAAAGCAAGAAAGGAGGAGGATTTAGAGGCAAATATGGTTACCTATTTATAGAGTTTGAAGAGGATGGAACGTGTTCATCAACATAACTTGGGTTTTTTTTTTCTAAAACAAATAAATAATTATGAAAAAAAAGGTGTGACCCCTATTACAGCAATGCCACCTGTAAGAGTATCAGGTGACGTGGCCACGTGGCAGTTTGGGTCCGCGGCCGTCGCTTTCTTGCATTGCTGGCAGTCGTCGGTGACCGTATTTTTTTCCTTTTTTAATAAAAATTAGAAATTGTTTTAACGGGTTATTGTCCAGTTTACTCGACATGAGCAGTTTTCGTTTCTTTTTTTTTTTTCACGGTTTGTTTATGATTCGAAGCACAAATCTCGCGCCATAATTCACGTTCCTTCGCAATTTAAGCTGCCGTTTAATTCGTTAAAAAATGTCAAAGAATTTGCAAAAGAAATAATAGAATATGATATCAGTTTTGACTTTAGAACCTTCGGTATTCAAGAATGAAAAAAACCCAGGTTCCTTTTGGGCAATGATGTAATTACTTTTTACCCCTTATTTCCTTTTCGTCACTCTAAATTAGACTTGACAAACTTGACCCGAATGTGATTACCCAAATCGATTTATTTGATATAATATTTGATATTTACCCGAACATGATAATTAAATTTGATCCGATATCCGACCCAAATCATACTCGATCTAAAATTTAGCGAAACTGAAATCAATCAGAACCGAAAGTAACCCGAACCGAATTTAACCCGACCCAAAAGTAACTTGAACAGATTGAAATTGATAAAAAGTTATTTTCAATAATAAATTAATTTAAATAAAATTGATAATTTATTAAAAATATTATATTTATAATAAAATAATAGAAAGTTTAAGAGGAATATAAAAGTAAGAACCTAATTGTAAAATTGAAGACAATAATAAATAAAGTTTACTTATCTTACTTGTTATAAAAAATATTAGATTTATAATAAAAATAATATAAAATAACTAAAACAAAGGAACTAATATTATATTTATAATAAAAATAATATAAAGTTTACTTATATTACGACTAAAACTTAACAAATAAAGTTACGTATTGGATTTTAAAATTTAATAAAAATATTAAATTTATAATTTGAAATAAAATTTCTAATACGATTTTTATTTTTTATCAAATAGTTCTCATTATAAACTTTTCATACGAGATCATTATAAAATTTTGATACAAATTGTAAAATATATTATATGATCATATTTGTGTCAAATTATCTGGTTTAATTCAAAATATTAAACTATTGAGAATTGAAATTAAACCTAAATGATAAAATTAATAAATAATAAGACATATTTTTACAAGTAAATATCAATTATTCTATATATACTTGATTTTGATTAGACTAATAACCAATTCAACCCGAATTGACCTGATCTAAAGGTTAACCTAAACTGAAAATCAACCGATCCGATAATGATCCGACCCGAAATCTAACTGATACGGTATTAACTCGACTAAAAAATCAACCGATCTGATATTGGCCCGACCCGATATTGACCAGATCCAAAAATCAACCGATCTGATATTGATCCGCCCAATCAGATCCATCGTACACCCGAACTAGAACCGAACCAGATCTAATCCGATCCGAATAAAATTAAGCCAAATTTAATCTAGACTCGAAATTACCCGATCCTAATGACTCGTTTGCCAACTATACTCTAAATTAGGGAATCCGTACTTAGTTACTATTTAAATGCCCTCTTCACAAAACATAGAAAAATGTTGATTCACTTTGGAGTTGTCGGAACCGTCTTTCGGTTGGGCCCGGAATTGAGCTTCGACTTAGATTAAATGAATTGGGAGTCGCCGCCGACCATTTTAAACAAATTTAGGTGGGTCAGACACCATCTTACCTGATCTGCGTTGTACCAAAATCGTGTCGGGTTCGGGAGTCGGTTACGGTCAAGGAAGGATTAGCACCCTTGAACCGCCCTTTTGGTACCAATTAATTTGCCGGTTGTCTTAGTTGCGAAAAATCAAAATTTAAATATTCGATTCGAATTGTTTACCTTTGATTGGTTGGAGTTCTTCTAAAAGAAAAGTCGAAAAGGTTAGACAAAAAATAAATATAAATAAACAAGAAGAAAAAACTAAAATAATAAATCAAGGGAGGAAAAAATATACATAAAAAAGTATTGAGATAACAAAAATGAAAAAACAAAATAATAAATCAAAAGGAAATATGATAAAAAAATAAATAAATAAAAGAAAAAAATAATAAAAAATAAAAATAAAAATGTTAAATAACACAAAAACGATATAAAAGAGAAAATAACTAGATAAATGAAAAAACAAAAAAACTTGGAGGATCCAATTGTAATATTAACATAACGAAAACACAATAATTAGGACTAAAACGTGAGGTTTGAAACATTAATGCTCAAAATACAATAAGCAAAATTTTATTAAATGGCCAAAAGATAAACTCACAGAGGAGGAGGGACTCGGAACCACATTACCCCTAAGCAAAATTACGAGCCAACCCCCATCGAAACTACGTCGTTTCATGGGGGTTATATAAGGCCCATACCAAGGCCATTCTCACCATAACATCCTCATTTTCTCATTTCCCTTTATCTCTCTAAGAGGGAGAGCTCTCTGACTTCTCTCTAGCCCCCTCACCAGAGGGGGTGACCATCCACCTCCCGTCGTCGATGGTCGCCGCTCGGCGGCCGGAAAAACATAAACTCGCCTAAAAGACTCCTCTCGCCACCGTGAACCCAAATCCCAAGCTAAAACACCCAAGCAATGCCCTCACCGGCGTAGATCTAAGAAAAAACCTTCGGGTTTTGTACCTTTTGTGTGGATTTTTCTACTTCTGTTGGCACCTGTTTTTTGCTTTGTATTTTTTGACGTTCTGGTTTGATGTTCTTGATTTTTGGTTCGAGGCTATGTATTTTTGCCTTGTGCTTACTATGTTCGCCGTGGTTTTGTTGTGATAATTTCTGTGTGGTTCTCTCGGTGTACTGTTGGTCTTATTGGATCTGTTGATCGAGAATTCTCTGTGTTGGTTTGTGACTCGACGATTTTCGTGGGTCTTGGTTTACTGTCTCCTGTTTACTGTGTTGGTAGTATTCTCTCGATGATGGTTTTTTTGATCCCCTCTAGCAGTAGCTTGGTGGGGGTATTTATACCCCCATCGGTGGTTGTTCCGACGATCATGTTAATATGCTCGTGGTTGGTTGGCCGAGGATTTCGGGATGGGTCAGTCCCGATCTCCTCGGCCGAAAATCTCGGTGGACGGTGTGACTGACCCTTTGACTCCTGCGTTGCTGTGATATTAGGGTTTCTAAACCCTAAACATTACCGAATTGGATCAGGCCTATTAAGTTGGGCCCACAGAACCTGGATTGGATTCTTGGACCCTAAATAGACCTAAAACAAGGGAAAAAAGGAAAATTAATAAATAATAAATAAAATAAAATAACAAATAAATAAATAAATAAAAGAAAATTATTTTTTAAAATTATATTTTATATATGATTTAAAAAATGTTTTTCAAAATCATATAATATAATATATTTTCAAAAAATATTTTTAAAATTACATATTATATATATTTTCCAAAATGTTTTTTAAAAAACTATATATTATATAAGTTTTCAAAATATTTTTTAAAAAACTATATAATATATAAATGTTTTCAAAATGTTTTTTTAAAAACTATATAATATGTAAATGTTTTCAAAATATTTTTTAAAATACTATATAATATATAAATGTTTTCAAAATGTTTTTTTTAAAGAACTATATATTATATAAATTTTCAAAAATATTTTAAAAAACTTTATATTATATAAGTTTTCAAAATGGTTTTAAAAACTATATAATATATATATTTTCTAAAATGTTTTCAAAACTATATATATTATATAGTTTCTGTAGACACCCGTTTTTGTCCGGGTCTTTTTTGTATATTATTATTATCGTTATTTTAATTATTATTATTAGTGTTATTATTATTATTTTATTTACATATTACATTCTGTTTCCAGGCCCAGTACAAAGATTCCG